GGTGAGTACAAATAGGTGAGTACACACACACACAAACACACACACACACACACACACACACACGCACACACGAAATGCAAGGAGCCACAGAAAGGTTTATTCCCAAGGGCAACAGAAAAATGGGAAGACAAGAACGAGCCCTGGTTTACCCGACGGTGTAAGGAGGCAAGGACTAAGTGCAACATAGAATGGAAAAAGTACAGAAGGCATAGAACACTTGAAATAGGGAGATTAATAGCAGAGTCAGGAACGATCAGGAGGTATGTGAGGAGCTAAACAGGAGATTTAAATAAGTTTTTTACAGAAGATACAGGAAGAGCTCTGGGAAGACAGCACAGAGGGGAACATCAACAAGGAATATACCAATAAGTGTTGGATGACATACGAACAACGGAGGAGGAGCTGCAGTTGCTGCTAAGTGAACTTGATACCTCAAAGGCGAATGAACCGGACAACATCTCCCCATGGGTCCTTAGCGAAGGAGCAGAGATGCTGTGCGTACCCCTAACCAAAATCTTAAACACATCCTTTGAAACTGGGAAACTGCCTGAGATATGGAGGACTGCAAATGTAGTCCCCATTTTTTAGAAAGGTGACAGAAACGAGGCATTAAATTACAGACCAGTGTCTCTGACGTGTACAGTATGAAAAGTCATGGAGAAGATTATCAGGAGGAGAGTGATGGAGCACTTTGAACGGAACAACATTATAAATGACAACCAGCATAGATTCATGGAAGGCAAATCCTGTGTCACAAACCTTCTGGAGTTTTATGAAAAGATAGCAGAAGTAAGACACAGAGAGAGGGGTGGGAGGATTGCATTTTCCTGGACTGCATGAAGGCCCTCGACGCAGTTCCTCACAAGAGATTAGTGCAGAAGCTGGAGGATCAGGCGCATATAACAGGGAGGGCACTACAATAGACCAGAGAATACCTGACAGGGAGGCAACAACGAGTCATGGTACGTGAAGAGGCACCACAGTGGGCGCCTGTGATGAGCGGGGTCCCACAGGGGTCAGTTCTAGGACCAGTGCTGTTTTTTATATATGTTTACCTAGAGTTTACCTGGAGAGAGTTCTGGGGGTCAACGCCCCCGCGGCCCGGTCTATGACCAGGCCTCCTGGTGGATCAGAGCCTGATCAACCAGGCTGTTGCTGCTGGCTGCACGCAAACCAACGTACGAGCCACAGCCCGGCTGGTCAGGAACCGACTTTAGGTGCTTGTCCAGTGCCAGCTTGAAGACTGCCAGGGGTCTGTTGGTAATCCCCCTTATGTATGCTGGGAGGCAGTTGAACAGTTGGAAGTTGAAGACACAGATGAGTCAAAGGGTTGTTAGGAAGTATTTCTTCAGTCATAGAGTTGTCAGGCAGTGGAATAGCCTAAAAAGTGACGTAGTGGACGTGGGAACCATACATAGTTTTAAGACGAGGTTTGATAAAGTTTATGGAGAAGTGAGAGAGAGGACCCAGTAGCAACCAGTGAACAGGCGGGGCCAGAAGCTAACACTCAACTCATTCAACTATGAAATAGGTGAGTACACTCACACTCACACACACACACACACACACACACACACACACACACACAACCCACACACACACACACACACACACACACACACACACACACACACTCTCAGACACACACACACACACACACACACACACACACACACACACACACACACACACACACACACACACACTCTCAGACACACACACACACACACACACACACACACACACACACACACACACACACACACACACACACACTCTCAGACACACACACACACACACACACACACACACACACACACACACACACACACACACACACACACTCTCAGACACACACACACACACACACACACACACACACACACACTCTCAGACACACACACACACACACACACACACACACACACACACACACACACACACACACACACACACACACACACACACACTCGTACATACACAAAAAGACTAGTCCCGGAGCTAAGGGGTATGTCTTGCGAGGGGTTCGCTCAAAAATATTCGTCTTCTTTATTTATGAACCGATTACATTCATTTTTGGTGTACTATTAGAAGCTTATATCGAGTATCCTGTGCTGAAGTTTCAAAAATATCGGCCAAAAAGGAAATGAAATATCCAAAATTTACGAAAAATTACATTTGGCAGGGGAACTGGAGTCAGTGGTACTTGGAAAAGTAGTTTTGACACTTGCTGCTGATAGAACACTTCTAATTCCATCATTTTTGAGGTACCAATTATATAATAAATCTTATCTTCATGCTAAAAAAAATAAAGTTTCATAACTTTTTTGACATTTTGGAAGATGTCGGTCTTGTTGCCCACACAAATCTGAAAATATTTGGGGTACTTCAGAAAGGTACCACAAAACTTGTAAAGCAATCATTCTTCTGTTTGTTGTGAAAATCAAGTCAATTCATTCATAAATAAGGATGCGTTCCCCCTAAATAGGTAAATAACTTACTTTCGAGATATAGGCCGAAGCGCGCGGCACCCCAGGTGCCCGGGAAATATTTTTTTTCCCAGAAAAATTCGCCTTATTTTACACTTTTTCCGCGACCTACGAGTGTTTATTACAGTTAACCATTGTAAATCCGTTTTCTCTCATCACTGATGAGAGAGGTCGGACCCTCTCTTCACCTTCAGGGGAAATATCGATAGAAATTTTTTCCTCGGGGCATCATATTATTCTATATATTATTTTTTAAGGTGTACTTTTTATGTTTATATGCTGTTATTATATTGCATTATGTCATAATAGATCAATTGTGATAGATAAATAAGCCTTATAATTGATATTAGCGTGGGTATGGAATATTTTGTTGGCTGGAGGTGTCGGCCATTTTATGCAATATACCCAGGGTACCTGATTGGTTCCTTGATCATATTATCTCCGCCCACTCTGGCATGTCTCAGATGGTGAATTTGTATTATATTAGACATAAAGATATAAGAAAAGGATTTATTTATTTATTTATTTATTACCAATTTGAGCACACATACAGAGGTACCAAAAAATACAGATAAGAGCAGCATGCCAAAGCCACTTATACTATGCATAGCATTACGGGCTGGCTTAAAATTAACTTAAGATTAACTAAGCAATGATGAAATCAGTGATAAATGTAAACAGATTACTATAAAGCACAAATGAGTATTACAAAGACAGGTCATATGGTTGCATTCAGTTATATGAAGGATTCTGTTAGGTAGTGTATTTAAAAAATAATAAAGTTAGATTGGGTTTTAGGTTTAACATTTATGTGATATAATTGTGAGAAACATTTAAGATATACAATTTATAAGGTTCAGTTATTCAGTATTTATTTGGTTTTGGGTGAGTAAGTGATCTTTGAGAAGAGACTTGAATTTATAAACAGGTAGTGTTTCTTTTATATTTACAGGTAATGAATTCCAGATTTTAGGGCCTTTTATGTTCATTGAGTTTTTGCATAGTGTGAGATGGACACGAGGAACATCAAAGAGTGATCTGTGCCTTGTGTTATGGTCATGTGTTCTGTTGAGGTTGGCAAGGAGATGTTTGAGGGGAGGGTTAATATCAGAGTTAAGTGTTCTATGTATGTAATAGGTGCAGTAATAAGTATGGATGTTTTGTATGGTGAGTAGGTTTAGTGTATTGAATATTGGTGGAGTGTGCTGTCTGTAGTGAGAATTTGTTATCATTCTAACTGCAGCCTTTTGTTGGGTAATTAGTGGTCTGAGATGGTTAATTGTTGTTGAGCCCCATACACAAATTCCATAGGTGAGATAGGGGTAAATAAGAGAGTGATATAGGGCCAGGAGGGCTGACTGTGGAACATAGTACCGTATCTTCGATAGTATGCCTACAGTCTTGGAAATTTTCTTAGAAATTTGTTGTATATGTGTATGAAATTTGAGTCTATTATCAAGGTGGATTCCTAAGAATTTTCCCTCTGTTAGCTTTGTGATAGGTGATCCGATTATCATTATGTTAAGAGGGACATCTGTAGCTCTGTTACCAAACTGAATGAAGTAGGTTTTGTCAATGTTTAGTGTAAGTTTGTTAGTCCTCATCCAGGTAGATATTTTCTGTAATTCGGTATTTACAGTATTGGCTAGTGTGACTGGGCTCGGGTGAGAGAAGACGTATGTAGTGTCATCTGCAAATAGTGTGGGTTTGAGTAATTGCGAAGCATTTGGAAGGTCATTTATGTATAGGAGAAAGAGAAAGAGGGCCAAGGACACTTCCCTGTGGGACACCAACTGTAATTGGTTGCGCAGAAGAGTTTGCCCCATTTGCGTACACATATTGGCTTCTGTTGCTGAGGTATGACTTGAGGTAGTTGAGGGAGTGCCCTCTTATACCATAGTGTGACAATTTTACGTGGAGCAAGTCATGGTCAACTGTATCAAAAGCTTTACGTAAGTCAATGAAGATCCCCAGTGGGAGTTCTTTTTTCTCTATTGCAGTGTATATATGTTCTAGCATGTGTATAATAGCATCATTAGTATTTTTATTAGGCCTGAATCCAAATTGGCAGGGGTTGAGTATGTTTTGGGAGATAAGGTAGGAGTAGATTCGTTTATGAATTAATTTTTCGAAGATTTTTGAGAGAGGGTGTAAGTTGGATATTGGCCTATAGTTATTCAACTCTGTTTGGTCTCCTCCTTTGTGGGCAGTGCATGCCACACATGTTCAACTTGTCAGACACAACAGCATCATGGAATCTTGGCTTAGAGGACATGGCCACAACCTTCTCACTTACTAGCTTCACCCTCACTAGTTTCACTCACACAGCCCTGGGTACACCACCAATGAAAGGTGCAAAAGAGCAACAGTGAGTTCTTGTGAACCACTTCACTCATCACTCAAATCAGTGTCACTTTCTCCAGTATCACTCACAGCAGCATCATTCACACCAGCCTCATCCATAATACTCAGCACTTGTAGGGCACAGAGATACAAAACTGACAAACTTACCCTCCTGCGGGCTGCAACTCCTGGACCACTTCACACGCCTGACTTACATCAGCGTCACTCAGGCCACTTAGACATAGCTCCACAGTCGGAATCTTTGGTAATGGCATCAGTGCTGCTGAGGACAGTCCTGCTGGTATTCTCAAATCTGTAGCCATACAACATAACGTCAGTACCCCACTATGTTTCTCATCACCACACCAACACTCTGAACGTTGCACTTATAAAGATACACATTAATGCAATCATAAGTGCAACTTACCATCTGGGTTGCCACGTCTGAGGTACTTTTTAAGTAATTGTTTTCTGCCAATTCTTGGCCAATCACCATTCACCTGATTGCAGATATCTGATACGTTGTAATGACGGCTATATCGTTCCGAGAGGTATGAAAACATAAAGATATATCAAGAAAGCTGTGGAGGCGACCGGTAGGTCAGCAGCATCACAGACTGGTAACAGGTCCTACCTGTCTCAGAAAGGTCAGCAGCATCACAGACTGGTAACAGGTCCTACCTGTCTCAGAAAGGTCAGCAGCATCACAGACTGGTAACAGGTCCTACCTGTCTCAGAAAGGTCAGCAGCATCACAGACTGGTAACAGGTCCTACCTGTCTCAGAAAGGTAAGCAGCAACACAGACTGGTAACAGGTTCTACCTGTCTCAGAAAGGTCAGCAGCATCACAGACTGGTAACAGGTCCTACCTGTCTCAGAAAGGTAAGCAGCATCACAGACTGGTAACAGGTCCTACCTGTCTCAGAAAGGTCAGCAGCATCACAGACTGGTAACAGGTTCTACCTGTCTCAGAAAGGTCAGCAGCATCACAGACTGGTAACAGGTCCTACCTGTCTCAGAAAGGTAAGCAGCATCACAGACTGGTAACAGGTTCTACCTGTCTCAGAAAGGTCAGCAGCATCACAGACTGGTAACAGGTCCTACCTGTCTCAGAAAGGTAAGCAGCATCACAGACTGGAAACAGGTCCTACCTGTCTCAGAAAGGTCAGCAGCATCACAGACTGGTAACAGGTTCTACCTGTCTCAGAAAGGTCAGCAGCATCACAGACTGGTAACAGGTCCTACCTGTCTCAGAAAGGTAAGCAGCATCACAGACTGGTAACAAGTTCTACCTGTCTCAGAAAGGTCAGCAGCATCACAGACTGGTAACAGGTTCTACCTGTCTCAGAAAGGTCAGCAGCATCACAGACTGGTAACAGGTCCTACCTGTCTCAGAAAGGTAAGCAGCATCACAAACTGGTAACAGGTCCTACCTGTCTCAGAAAGGTCAGCAGCATCACAGACTGGTAACAGGTCCTACCTGTCTCAGAAAGGTCAGCAGCATCACAGACTGGTAACAGGTCCTACCTGTCTCAGAAAGATCAGCAGCATCACAGACTGGTAACAGGTCCTACCTGTCTCAGAAAGGTAAGCAGCATCACAAACTGGTAACAGGTCCTACCTGTCTCAGAAAGGTCAGCAGCATCACAGACTGGTAACAGATCCTACCTGTCTCAGAAAGGTCAGCAGCATCACAGACTGGTAACAGGTCTACCTGTCTCAGAAAGGTAAGCAGCATCACAAACTGGTAACAGGTCCTACCTGTCTCAGAAAGGTCAGCAGCATCACAAACTGGTAACAGGTCCTACCTGTCTCAGAAAGGTCAGCAGCATCACAGACTGGTAACAGGTCCTACATGTCTCAGAAAGGTCAGCAGCATCACAGACTGGTAACAGGTCCTACCTGTCTCAGAAAGGTCAGCAGCATCACAGACTGGTAACAGGTCCTACCTGTCTCAGAAAGGTCAGCAGCATCACAAACTGGTAACAGGTCCTACCTGTCTCAGAAAGGTCAGCAGCATCACAAACTGGTAACAGGTCCTACCTGTCTCAGAAAGGTCAGCAGCATCACAGACTGGTAACAGGTCCTACCTGTCTCAGAAAGGTCAGCAGCATCACAGACTGGTAACAGGTCCTACCTGTCTCAGAAAGGTCAGCAGCATCACAGACTGGTAACAGGTCCTACCTGTCTCAGAAAGGTCAGCAGCATCACAGACTGGTAACAGGTCCTACATGTCTCAGAAAGGTCAGCAGCATCACAGACTGGTAACAGGTCCTACCTGTCTCAGAAAGGTCAGCAGCATCACAGACTGGTAACAGGTCCTACCTGTCTCAGAAAGGTCAGCAGCATCACAAACTGGTAACAGGTCCTACCTGTCTCAGAAAGGTCAGCAGCATCACAAACTGGTAACAGGTCCTACCTGTCTCAGAAAGGTCAGCAGCATCACAAACTGGTAACAGGTCCTACCTGTCTCAGAAAGGTCAGCAGCATCACAGACTGGTAACAGGTCCTACCTGTCTCAGAAAGGTCAGCAGCATCACAGACTGGTAACAGGTCCTACATGTCTCAGAAAGGTCAGCAGCATCACAGACTGGTAACAGGTCCTACCTGTCTCAGAAAGGTCAGCAGCATCACAGACTGGTACAGGTCCTACCTGTCTCAGAAAGGTCAGCAGCATCACAAACTGGTAAACAGGTCCTACCTGTCTCAGAAAGGTCAGCAGCATCACAAACTGGTAAACAGGTCCTACCTGTCTCAGAAAGGTCAGCAGCATCACAAACTGGTAACAGGTCCTACCTGTCTCAGAAAGGTCAGCAGCATCACAGACTGGTAACAGGTCCTACCTGTCTCAGAAAGGTCAGCAGCATCACAGACTGGTAACAGGTCCTACCTGTCTCAGAAAGGTCAGCAGCATCACAGACTGGTAACCGGTCCTACCTGTCTCAGAAAGGTCAGCAGCATCACAGACTGGTAACAGGTCCTACATGTCTCAGAAAGGTCAGCAGCATCACAGACTGGTAACAGGTCCTACCTGTCTCAGAAAGGTCAGCAGCATCACAAACTGGTAACAGGTCCTACCTGTCTCAGAAAGGTCAGCAGCATCACAAACTGGTAACAGGTCCTACCTGTCTCAGAAAGGTCAGCAGCATCACAGTCTGGTAACAGGTCCTACCTGTCTCAGAAAGGTCAGCAGCATCACAGACTGGTAACAGGTCCTACCTGTCTCAGAAAGGTAAGCAGCATCACAGACTGGTAACAGGTTCTACCTGTCTCAGAAAGGTCAGCAACATCACAGACTGGTAACAGGTCCTACCTGTCTCAGAAAGGTCAGCAGCATCACAGACTGGTAACAGGTCCTACCTGTCTCAGAAAGGTCAGCAGCATCCAAAACTGGTAACAGGTCCTACCTGTCTCAGAAAGGTCAGCAGCATCACAAACTGGTAACAGGTCCTACCTGTCTCAGAAAGGTCAGCAGCATCACAGTCTGGTAACAGGTCCTACTGTCTCAGAAAGGTCAGCAGCATCACAGACTGGTAACAGGTCCTACCTGTCTCAGAAAGGTAAGCAGCATCACAGACTGGTAACAGGTTCTACCTGTCTCAGAAAGGTCAGCAACATCACAGACTGGTAACAGGTCCTACCTGTCTCAGAAAGGTCAGCAGCATCACAGACTGGTAACAGGTCCTACCTGTCTCAGAAAGGTCAGCAGCATCACAGACTGGTAACAGGTCCTACCTGTCTCAGAAAGGTCAGCAGCATCACAGACTGGTAACAGGTCCTACCTGTCTCAGAAAGGTAAGCAGCATCACAGACTGGTAACAGGTCCTACATGTCTCAGAAAGGTCAGCAGCATCACAGACTGGTAACAGGTCCTACCTGTCTCAGAAAGGTCAGCAGCATCACAGACTGGTAACAGGTCCTACCTGTCTCAGAAAGGTCAGCAGCATCACAGACTGGTAACAGGTCCTACATGTCTCAGAAAGGAAGGTGGAAAAACTCTCCAGTTGCTTCCACTACTGACACTATGTGAATATGATAAAGGTATACAATACCGACAATTTGATAAATAAGACACATGTGAAACAGTTAGGTATCATTATTTCAGAACAAAATTAACTACTGCACATGTGTCTTACTTATCAACACTGTCACGCAAAAGATCTCGGTTTGATATCCCTTTTCACTTTTCATTCACTGACAGTCGTTCATTACAATTTATCTTTGGATGATAGATGATATGACTTGGTGGAGTATGAGAATATATATACCGAGAAAGCTGTAGTGGTGTGAGAGGGAACAGTTGCGTTATAGACAGTGATGGAAAGTGCTACCTGTTACAAAAGTGAAGGTGATACAATTGTCATAATCAAATTACTGTGGTTGAATAGTATAAAACAAGGCCTGACACACACGGGACCTGTGATCAAATCCTCGAGGGCCAGGTCTATTTGTCGAGTTTTTCTTTCTTACTTGTGGTTGAACATCTCTGTTAATTAGAGCCATCTTTGTCACCCAGAATACGCTGGTCAGCCCATTCCCTCCACAAGTGAACTGTCATACCAAGTATAATAAACACTAGCTACTTACCAATCTGATGTCTTGAAGACACCTGATACCTGGTTCATTTCCATGCCGAGTAACCCAACACAGTCACTGAGTGGTTGTGTACAAATGGTATATAATACCGACAAGATGAGAGTAAGACACATGTGCAACATCTGGGTATCTTTATTGTAGACGTTTCGCCATCCAGTGGCTTTATCAATACAAATTCCAGGACATAACTTGAAGACAGTAGAACTATGTACAGAAGATGAGGTAATCAGTCCCTCAACCTAGGAGTAGGTGCGAACAGCACCATAGTCGTGGAGATTCTGAAGCAGAAGATTGTTGTTAAAGATTCGCCGGTATTTTCCCGGCCCGGGCCCTTCCAAGTGGTGGCCCGGCACTGGCTCCCTGTCTAGGGAGTGTCTGAGACCTAAATCTCCCATGGGAGGAGGCACAAGTACCCCCTCATCTTGTAAGGTACAAACTCGGGCTCTGGCACCAACCATGCCCTAGAAGGGCAATGCATGGTGTCGATCGTGCTAGCGCTGTGCTCTCCTGTGTGGAGTGTCATGTGTTGGTGTTCATTTTCATTCATGTTGATTCGCAGGTCCTTCTGGCCCAGGTCTTCTCCAGATGGTGACCCGGCAGTGGCCCCCCGGGTGGGGGGTGACGATAATCATCTTTCTTCTTTCTTGGCCCTCCGGTTGGAGGATGTCGTCTTCTTCTATCTTGCGCTGACTTCCCCAAAGAGAAGCGCAGTCGGGCAGAGGCAGCAGTTACAGGGTTGATTGGAGCCACACCCCAGCTTTAGCGGACAGCAAAGTGCTGGGTGAATGGTCATGGATAGTCGTGCTAGA